TAGAGAGGCCCTCTGTAGGCAGTATTTGAGTTGTGGCACGTGTGTCGTCGGTGGTAGGGCTGAACGATTTGGGGAAAATATGTAATTGCGAATTTTCTGACAGATATTGCGATTTGATTTGAGATTGAAAATTTTAAAGTCAAGCTTCAGTTCAATATAGATTTTAAAACATGTGATGGAGCAATACCGCATGATACCATCAAAATATGAACTAATCTATATTTTCTAATGCAAGGATGAGAACTTAAAAGATATGAATTGCTTCCAACATGTATTAAAATGTTTTAATTGAAATAGAACTATCAAACATAGAACAATTGTTAAGTTAAATAAACAAGGTTATAATAAAAATTCCAATAAGTAATAGGACTTTTCAAATCGCAAAAAATCGCAGCCCTTGTGATTTGTTAATCGCATTATTTCAAATTGCGATTTAGATTTTAAATCGATTAACCGTTCAGCTCTAGTTGGTGGCACGTGTGGCGTTGGTGACACGTGTGGAGTTGGTGGCACATGTGGCGTTGGTGGCACGTGTGGCGTTGATGGCACGTGTGGAGTTGGTGGCACGTGTGTCCTTGTGGCACGTGTGGAGTTGGTGGCACGTGTGGCGTTGGTGGCACGTGTGTCATTGTGCCACGTGTGGCATTGGTGGCACGTGTGGCGTTGGTAGCACGTGTGGAGTTGGTGGCACGTGTGGAGTTGGTGGCACGTGTGTCATTGTGGCTCGAAGTGGCGTTGGTGGCACGTGTGGTGTTGGTGGCACGTGTGTCGTCGTGACGCGTGTGGCATTGGTGGCACGTGTGGTGTTGGTGGCACGTGTGTCGTCGTGACGCGTGTGGCATTGGTGGCACGTGTGGAGTTGGTGGCACGTGTGTCATTGTGGCTCGAAGTGGCGTTGGTGGCACGTGTGGTGTTGGTGGCACGTGTGTCGTCGTGACGCGTGTGGCATTGGTGGCACGTGTGGAGTTGGTGGCACTTGTAGGGTTGTGGCTATCACGGGCACGCACGCGCTTGTGGCAGCAGGATGAGGGTTGGCACATCTCATCTCGCACATGCGCTGCCACGGGGCGCGCATCTGTTTCTCCATATCCTGCGTGTCCCTCTGTCCCTCCTCGCTCTCTCACTCCCTTTCTGTGTCTCCTGCCAGAGGGACGTCTTCATTGACTTTCTTATTCTGCTTTGCTCGCTCGCTCGCCCTACTGTCTTTTTAATCGACGTTGTTGTTTGTTTGTTTGATGTGTTCACGCTTTCTGCCACGGACGCGGGTTCGTCGTTTGTGGTGGCGGGTGGCGGCAAATAAAGGCAGTCGAAAAAAATTTACTTTTTCAAACTCGCGATGAGCAAGTTAAGGGTCGACGGCGCGATTTTTTTCCCCCACCCCTCCCTTCCCTCCTTCCACGGGGCGTTGTCGTTGAGTTGCTGTCAATTATTAAAGAGTCTTTGGCTGCGATGAACTTCCACGTGATAAGCCACTTCGTTGAGCTGTCATTTGTGGCCAGGTCGCTGATGGAAAAAGAAGAAGCTCATAGCTCGGTCGACCCTACCTGGTAAGTAAGTAAACAAAGGAATGGTTTCATTTGTAACGAAACTAAAGGGGCGCCTGTGTTGGCATTGAGCCGCACGAGGACAAATAAAGTATAGAGAGAGAGGAAGCCCCGGGGTGGTTCAGAGGCCAGGGACGCTGAGAAAGAACGGGTTCGGTTTTAGCTCTGGCCGTGATAAATTTGCTTAAAGTGTACAGGTAGGGAAGCCGCTGTTGCTCTGCCAAGGAAAATAAGGGACAGCTGTCAGCGTGTCCGTACCCTTCTCACGATCCACCCACACCTCCGATTAGCAGAGTTTCGGCTACGTACGGTGCGAAAGACGTTTAACTATGCGCATGTACGCACCCGGAGCACTAAGAGTACTACTCTTTGGTTCTTTCGGTAAAGTCACGTAGATGAAAAATAATAATGAAAATAACAAAAATTTAGTTATTTTCATTTTATTATTTTATTTTCATTTTATTATTTTAAAATGAAAATTAATATTTTTTAGTTTTTTTCATTTTTATTCTTTTCATTATTCATCTACGTGACTTTACCGACGGAACCAAAGGGAATGGATCCTTGAAGTCACGAAAACTTCAAATCTAAAATGAGTACATCTGCTGTTTTATGCAATAATAAAATGCCTAGATTATATATATATTTAAACCTATAATCTATGGGATTTAAATAATATTCTGGCGAAAGAATTACGTTAATAAATTGAATACAAATTGAAAAATCAAAGCGATTTTAAACGGATTGTGTCAGTCTTCTGTATTCGTTCATCCCACCTCTTCCGTGTCGCTCTCTACCATTTATAAAACATTGTATCCTTGTTGTTGTCTTCCGAGCATCTTCTTCCGCCGATTCAATTCAACCTCACCTTTATTTGTTTCACGCAACAACAAAAAATCCCGTGCAGCCAGTTACCCAGCTAGCTTCCGTGGCACCGGCCTGCAGCAACCGCCAAAAGCAAGAGGTATCGTTGGGTGTGGTGAAGAGCAGCCAGCCAGGAAACTCGAGGCACAGATACGTTTCATTAGTACAGCAGTATTTTATCTCCATATATATAAGCGGCAAAGTTGTGAATACGCGTGACTGTTCAAAATGTTTAGCGTACTTCCCGACATGCAACAAACTTAAAATTTGCCATGTGGGTAATTTCCAGACTGTACACCATGGGGGGGGAGCTCAATAATGTATATATTTTTTGCACGGCAAGTGAGCTGTGACGTCAAATCTGTCACGTGACCCTTGCATGTGGAAGCGTAACGCATTGTAGCGTAGTGGTTAGCGCTACGAACCCGGCCACCCACCCGCGTTCGATTCCCGCTCACGGCCACCACCGGTGACGATTATTTTAACTGGTCCTGGGCCTCCCCTAGGTCGACTCAGCCTCAAACGAGTAACTGCTGTGGTGTCAACATCGCCACTGGGGAGACAAAGGCGGCCGGGCGTGCTGCTGGTCACCCACCCCCTCGTATCTGTATATATAAAAGGGAAATTTGTGAATATGTGTGTCTGTTCAAAATGTTTAGCATACTTCCCGACATGCAACAAACTTCAAATTTGCCATGTGGGTACTTTCCAGACTGTACACCATGCAAAAATAATAAAAAGAGACTTTTGAATATTTTTTTTTGGGGGGGGGGCGCAATAATGGATATATTTTGCACGGCAAGTGAGCTGTAACGTCACATCAAAATTGGACGACAGAGCTCCAACATTGGAGCTCTGTCGTCCCGACAGTTTTTTGTTCCTTCACCTGAAGAAGGCCGCTTGCGTTGTGGCCGAAACGTCGTGAGAATTTTATTGTTTTATTTTATTATTTTATTCTCATTCTACGTGACTTTACCGAAAGAACCAAAGAAGATGAATCCTTGCAGTGACGAAAGCTTTAAATCGAAATAAAAAGCTCGTACTGTATACATATATAATGTTACTGCGTACGCGTTTGTCCAGGTCAGCACGAGATTTAAAATTGTACACGATGGGTGCTCGGGTGGTTTATAGAAAGGCACACAATGACCGTGACGAAGGCGCTGGTTTGTGAATGTCAGCTGCCCTGTGTTGAGGGCTGAACCGGAGTCTCGAGTCCGGCGAGTTGATGGCCTCGGCACCAGGCCACCAATGACTGCACAAGAACAACAATCGCCGTGGGAGGCATGTCGCGTTCGCGCTGGGAATTTTGACCAAGCTGCGGCTTGTTGCCCGCCCTCACAGTCGGGCATATTGTGCGGAATACACCACGTGGTGCCGCCGTTGACCCTGGCCATTGAGAATTAAAATATACCGCTCTGAGTTGCCGTGCGCCCAGCGTTAATCACTCCAGCAGCGGCTGAGCAGGTACTGCTCGCCGCTATTGCATGGACCGGAGGTCAATTATGGAAGGTGTCTCGGATGTAGCTCTGTGATATCCGCTTCCGCGCGGGTCGTTCTCCGACATGACGGGGACTCGCACTGCTCTTGTGCGAGATTTCCAACTGGATTCCCAAGTCACACGATGCGTAACTTTTGGATGCATGCCCACGTGGTGGTTGGGTTCCAGCAGTAGCCATCGCCGTACGGTACTCCTGCCTCTATGCCCCCACGTCTGTGTGCCCCGCCTTCGCCAATTGGTGAAGTATGGTCAAACAGCCCCCACCACGACCCACATGGCGTGGGGAGCCCCCCCCCCCCCCCGCCCCAGCAGTGGAGTGACGCACGTATTGATATCTAAGCCTGGCCTCAACTCGAAATGGCATTGGGCAAATGGCGCGTTGGAGCAGGGCCCTCCTGTCAAAGAGTCTTGAGACTCAGTGAGGCTTTCGTGGGCAAATAAATGTTGTCATTGTAATTTTCATCATTATTCCGAGTGACTTCCTGCTGCTTAAACGAGCATTGAGCCATCGCTGCTCATAGCCTGTTTACAGCCCTGCAGAGCCAGTGGCGGAAATTCCACATTCCTACGGCGGGAGCTGAGTCTATCCATAGGTAAAACCGCTGTTGACTTCCTCGCTAAGTGGTACTGATTTTATCGACCCTGGAGGGAGCGATGATGGGCTGAGTCAACCCCCCCGCCCCCCTCCAAAAAAAAATCAGGATATGTAACGTGCAGATTGCGAGCCACTCGCTTGCTCTACCCGTGAACCACGTGGCCGGATATCGTGGCCATTTCTGCTCAGGATAGCAATGCAAGTGTGGTCGGCATCTCATGAAAGTGTAACCTGACCGTTGCCTTGTCTTGTTTGTGTCCACAGCACTGGCGGGGCATCAGGCAGGGGGTGAGCGAGTGGATGAGCGGGCGAGTTGGCGAGGGGCCAGGCGTGTAGATGAGTGGGTGAGCGATTGCGTGAACGAGCGGGCGGGTGAGCGGGTGGGCGAGTGAGTGGTTGAGCGAGTCGATGAGTGAGCGGGACGGGTAGGTGGGCGAGCGAGCGAGCGAGGGGGCAGCTGGGCGGGTGAGCGGATGCGTTAGCCCTCGAGCGGGCGGGCGGGCGAGCGAGCGAGCGAGCGTGCAAGCGCGGGTGAGCTGGCGGACGAGCGACCGAAGTGGGTGGTCGAGCGGGCGAGCGAGCGAGCTGGTGGGTGAACGAGTTGGCGAACGGTCTGGCGAGCGAGCGAGCGAGCGTGCGGTTTGGTGAGTGAGCGGGCGAGGGAGCCGGTGGGTGAGCAAGTTGGCGTGCGGCTTGGTGGGCGAGCGTGGTGGACGATGGCAGAGGTGGCCGGGGCGAGGAAGGTGAGCTGCTCGTCGGACTCGGTGTCCACCCCCAACTCGGAGGACTTCGTCCTCGTGCCGGGCAGCCCCGCCGCACCACCCTCCGGCAGCGACGGCACGGGCCTCAAGGTGACCTCATGATGGCATCGTCGTTATCATCATCGTCATCGTCATCTTCATCGTCATCATCGTCATCACACGAACTCCGGTCATCCTCGCAGCAGCGGCTTTTGGCTGCTGCCATCGTACAAAGACGGCGGTCACCGCATCATCGCGCGGCACTTTCAGACGCGCTTCTGCGGCCGTCTGGAACGCTCTTCGGACATTAGGAAACCCACTGAAGCCCCGCGTTAAGTTTACCGTCCTTCCCCCCGCACCTCCGATTAGCGCGGCTGGCTACCGTGCCTCGCGCGCGTTCAACATCGCCGTCACCGGCGGCAGCCTTGGAACCTCTGCCGTCCGATCCGCTCGTTTTGCCGCTGACCCGGAGGGGAGGGGAGGGGTCGCGGATGGCGTGCGAACGCCGTCGGTGGCTCACAAAGGGAGACACTGTACGAGGCGGGGGTTGGTGGCAAACAGAGGCGGGACAAAGCGTGCGTGCTCTCCCGTCGCCATCACGGTGGGCAAACACGGGGCACGGCAGGGGGGGGGGGCACGGCGGGGGGGGAACGGCAGGGGGGGGCATGGCAGGGGGCACGGCAGTGGGCATAGCAGGCAGCATAGCAGGGGGCACGGCACAGTGAATAACTGAACCGGTCGTGGGCCTCCCCTAGGTCGACTCAGCCTTAAAAAATGAGTACTTGGTGCGGCGCGTATAAAGCATCGCCTCTGGGGAGACAAAGGCGGCCGGGCGTGGTTCTGTGGCCACCCACCCCCTCGTGTGCCGTGCCGGCCTTCACAGGTGCTGCTCGCTAACAGCACTTGCCCCTACAGTCTGTTAAAGGCTACGTGCGGTCGATGGAGTGGGGAGCTTTATCTTTGCTTAGTCCTCGCATGGGCCCGTGAGGCTTTTACGAATAGACTTTGATAATCATTATCAGTGTAATCATTAATGAGTAGCAACACCGCCATTTCAGAATTTTTAATTGCACCACCGCCGTATGATGATGATGATGATGATAGTCGGCCAGATGATTACGGGAAGGTGCGGCAATCCTGCGGCCACGCATTGAGTCACCGATGGCTCGCTCGCCGGTTTTGCAAAAACGAGAGGGGGGGCGGGGGTGGGTCAAGGGGTGTTCTGGTGGGGGGGGGGTGCGTTACCCCCCGTCGAGGAGTCGGAACAAAGAGTCCGCGCCATGCCGATCTCACGGTGAGATTTTGTTGCAATCCTGAGCGGGTGGTTTGGGGGGGGTGGTGGGTCGGGCCGGCTTTGCGTTGGCGCTGCGTGAGGCTGCGGGGCACGGTGCTTGGTGCTTGGCTAAGAGTGGTGGGATGAGAAGTGGGAGGGGGGGCAAGGTGGGGGCGGTGGTGGTCGCAGGGGGTGGCAAGACTCGACGGCGTGTTTCAACTCCGGGCTTGCCTCGTGTTGAGGACCGGACCGGACCATTTATTCTCAATCGGCACCGCGTTCAACCACCGCCACCACCGCCATCGCCACCGCTACCGCCACCACCGCCACCATCGCCATCGCCACCGCTACCGCCACCACCGTCACCACCACCACCACCACCATCACCACCACCGTCACCACCACCACCGTCACCACCGTCACCACCACCACCGCCACCACCGCCACCACCGCCACCACCGCCACCACCGCCACCGCCACCACCACCACCACCGCCACCGCCACCACCGCCACCACCACCACCACCACCACCACCGTCACCGCCACCACCACCACGGCCACCGCCGGCGCCACGCTGCAGGTCACAACAGAGTGGTGAAGAATAAGCTGATGTCTTCTTTGTTCTTTCGGTAAAGTCACGTGGAAGGGAAATAATAAAAATAAAACATAATAAAATAAAATTATCACGACTTTTCGACCACAACACAAGTAGCCTTCCTCAGGTGAAGAAACAGAACTGTCAGCGCTTCAATGAACACCGCTAAGCTTGGCAGCGTCTTTTAAGCTGGGTGGGAGGAGCAGAGCGCCTTGACAAAGGAGTTTACTTATCAACAGAAGAATTTAGCACTGAAGTAGCTGTGTTAATGTGAGAGATTAGCAGGATGTTAAAGTCAGAAATTAGTATGTAACTGGGAGATTAGCATGATGTTAGTGTGAGGGATTAGCATGTAACTGGTCACGGAGGTATCTATGTTTAAAGTCGGAGTCATTTAGTATATTAACGCTAAAGAACTGCAACTACCCAACTATCATACAATGAACCGATGTGAAAGAACTAAATTTAAACTACATCAATATTATCAATGTACTCAATATATTCTCCAATAAGCTGAGCTATTAACATAAAGTAACTGGGTATACACTACACTATATAATGAATACCATATAGTAAACTGATAAAAAACTAAAATATAAACTACATAAATATTATCAATAAACTCAATATACTCTCCAATCAGCTGAGCTACTAACAATAAGTCGTTATACATTACAATTCTATGTCGAAAAAAGTGTCGGTTTCTTTTTTCCTCAACGTTAGCACCACGGAAAGCGACGAGCTTTGTTCAGACGGACGAGTCCATCTATGCTCGGAACGGAGGATGGGGGAGAGAGAAACAGCCACGATGTGCTGCTCTGTCCTGTGCTGCGTTACAACTATGCTATAAACTAGACTACTATACAATATTATACCTTCCAATCTAAACTACATTGAATAATGTCGTATACACAGCCCAGGTTGCATCGCGTCAACAGAACGTGGCCAATTCGTTGCTGGCACAGCACTACCGGTGTCTTGGACAGCAAATCCACAACATTTACAATCCATAACAATTACAATCCGCAATAATTACAATCCACAACATTTACAATCCACAACATCTACAATCCACAACATCTACAATCCACAACAGTTACAATCCACAACATTTACAATCCATAACATTTACAATCCGCAACAATTACAATCCACAACATTTACAATCCACAACATCTACAATCCACAACATTTACAATCCACAACATTTACAATCCACAATATTTAGAATCCACGACATTTACAATCCGAGTACACAAACTGTGGATTTGCTCTCCAACACACGCGGGAGGGGGTGGGGGGAATTTAATAAATAAATGTGACGGGAGTAAATAAATAAACACGGATATAAATAAACGGATAAGTAGACAGATATCTAATATAATGTTACGTAATACAAAACCGTGAGAACGAGAGGGACATTGCCATCCGCCACAGATCCCGGGCGCCGGCAATGAGAGCGCCCTGGAGGAGCAGCTGGCGGCCATGCTGAGCGATTGCGCCCAGGACGAGGAGGACGAGGAGGAGGCTGACGATGATGAGGAGGAGGCGGCGACGAGGGGAGATCCCGGCTCAGCGGAGGGCGCTGGCGCCGGGGGCCCAGCGACGGGCGAAGGAGCGTCGGTGATGGCGGAGCGGACGGACGGCGAGATGCGTGACTCTCAGACGGTGGCCAACAACCCTCGCTGCTCCAAGGAGGGTGGGTGCACGTGACGACTGCGGCGGCGGCGGCGGCGGCGGTGATGGCGGCGACGATGACAATGACGACGATGATGGCGGCGATGATGACAACAATGACGACGATGATGGCGACGACGATGACAACAATGATGACAGCAATGACGACGATGATGGCGACAATGATGACAACAATGACGACGATGATGGCGGCGATGATGACAACAATGACGACGATGATGGCGGCGACGATGACAACAATGACGACGATGATGACGACGATGATGACAACAATGATGACAACAATGACGACGATGATGGCGACAATGATGACAACAATGACGACGATGATGGCGGCGACGATGACAACAATGACGACGATGATGGCGGCGATGATGACAACAATGATGACGACGGCGGTGGCGGCGACGATGACAACAATGACGATGATGATGGCGGCGACGATGACAACAATGACGACGATGATGGCGGCGATGATGACAACAATGATGACGATGACAACAATGACGACGATGATGGCGACGACGATGACAACAATGACGACGATGATGGCGGCGATGATGACAACAATGACGACGATGATGGCGACGACGATGACAACAATGACGACGATGATGGCGGCGATGATGACAACAATGACGACGGCGGTGGCGGCGACGATGACAACAATGACGACGATGATGGCGACGACGATGACAACAATGACGACGGCGGTGGCGGCGACGATGACAACAATGACGACGATGATGGCGACGACGATGACAACAATGATGACAACAATGACGACGATGATGGCGGCGACGATGACAACAATGACGACGATGATGGCGACGATGATGACAACAATGACGACGATGATGGCGGCGATGATGACAACAATGACGACGATGATGGCGACAACGATGACAACAATGATGACAACAATGACGACGATGATGGCGGCGACGATGACAACAATGACGACGATGATGGCGACAATGATGACAACAATGACGACGATGATGGCGACGATGATGACAACAATGACGACGATGATGGCGGCGACGATGACAACAATGACGACGATGATGGCGGCGATGATGACAACAATGATGACGACGGCGGTGGCGGCGACGATGACAACAATGACGATGATGATGGCGGCGACGATGACAACAATGACGACGATGATGGCGGCGATGATGACAACAATGATGACGATGACAACAATGACGACGATGATGGCGACGACGATGACAACAATGACGACGATGATGGCGGCGATGATGACAACAATGACGACGATGATGGCGACGACGATGACAACAATGACGACGATGATGGCGGCGATGATGACAACAATGACGACGGCGGTGGCGGCGACGATGACAACAATGACGACGATGATGGCGACGACGATGACAACAATGACGACGATGATGGCGACGATGATGACAACAATGACGACGATGATGGCGGCGACGATGACAACAATGACGACGATGATGGCGACGATGATGACAACAATGACGACGATGATGGCGGCGACGATGACAACAATGACGACGATGATGGCGGCGATGATGACAACAATGACGACGATGATGGCGGCGACGATGACAACAATGACGACGATGATGGCGGCGATGATGACAACAATGACGACGATGATGGCGGCGATGATGACAACAATGACGACGATGATGGCGACGACGATGACAACAATGATGACAACAATGACGACGATGATGGCGGCGACGATGACAACAATGACGACGATGATGGCGACGATGATGACAACAATGACGACGATGATGGCGGCGACGATGACAACAATGACGACGATGATGGCGACGATGATGACAACAATGACGACGATGATGGCGGCGATGATGACAACAATGACGACGATGATGGCGGCGATGATGACAACAATGACGACGATGATGGCGGCGACGATGACAACAATGACGACGATGATGGCGGCGATGATGACAACAATGACGACGATGATGGCGGCGATGATGACAACAATGACGACGATGATGGCGACGACGATGGCAACAATGATGACAACAATGACGACGATGATGGCGGCGATGATGACAACAATGATGACGACGGCGGTGGCGGCGACGATGACAACAATGACGACGATGATGGCGACGACGATGACAACAATGATGACAACAATGACGACGATGATGGCGGCGACGATGACAACAATGACGACGATGATGGCGACGATGATGACGACAATGATGACAACAATGACGACGATGATGGCGACAATGATGACGATGATGGCGACAATGACGACGATGATGGCGACAATGATGACGACAATGACAACAATGATGACGACGACGATGACAACAATGACGATGATGATGGCGGCGACGATGACAACAATGACGACGATGATGGCGACGACGATGACAACAATGACGACGGTGGTGGCGGCGACGATGACAACAATGACGACGATGATGGCGACGACGATGACAACAATGATGACAACAATGACGACGATGATGGCGGCGACGATGACAACAATGACGACGATGATGGCGACGATGATGACAACAATGACGACGATGATGGCGACGATGATGACAACAATGACGACGATGATGGCGACGATGATGACAACAATGACGACGATGATGGCGACGACGATGACAACAATGATGACAACAATGACGACGATGATGGCGGCGATGATGACAACAATGACGACGATGATGGCGACGACGATGACAACAATGATGACAACAATGACGACGATGATGGCGGCGACGATGACAACAATGACGACGATGATGGCGACAATGATGACAACAATGCCGACGATGATGGCGACGATGATGACAACAATGACGACGATGATGGCGGCGACGATGACAACAATGACGACGATGATGGCGGCGATGATGACAACAATGATGACGACGGCGGTGGCGGCGACGATGACAACAATGACGATGATGATGGCGGCGACGATGACAACAATGACGACGATGATGGCGGCGATGATGACAACAATGATGACGATGACAACAATGACGACGATGATGGCGACGACGATGACAACAATGACGACGATGATGGCGGCGATGATGACAACAATGACGACGATGATGGCGACGACGATGACAACAATGACGACGATGATGGCGGCGATGATGACAACAATGACGACGGCGGTGGCGGCGACGATGACAACAATGACGACGATGATGGCGACGACGATGACAACAATGACGACGATGATGGCGACGATGATGACAACAATGACGACGATGATGGCGGCGACGATGACAACAATGACGACGATGATGGCGACGATGATGACAACAATGACGACGATGATGGCGGCGACGATGACAACAATGACGACGATGATGGCGGCGATGATGACAACAATGACGACGATGATGGCGGCGACGATGACAACAATGACGACGATGATGGCGGCGATGATGACAACAATGACGACGATGATGGCGGCGATGATGACAACAATGACGACGATGATGGCGACGACGATGACAACAATGATGACAACAATGACGACGATGATGGCGGCGACGATGACAACAATGACGACGATGATGGCGACGATGATGACAACAATGACGACGATGATGGCGGCGACGATGACAACAATGACGACGATGATGGCGACGATGATGACAACAATGACGACGATGATGGCGGCGACGATGACAACAATGACGACGATGATGGCGGCGATGATGACAACAATGACGACGATGATGGCGGCGATGATGACAACAATGACGACGATGATGGCGGCGATGATGACAACAATGACGACGATGATGGCGGCGATGATGACAACAATGACGACGATGATGGCGACGATGATGACAACAATGACGACGATGATGGCGGCGACGATGACAACAATGACGACGATGATGGCGGCGATGATGACAACAATGACGACGATGATGGCGGCGACGATGACAACAATGACGACGATGATGGCGGCGATGATGACAACAATGACGACGATGATGGCGGCGATGATGACAACAATGACGACGATGATGGCGACGACGATGACAACAATGATGACAACAATGACGACGATGATGGCGGCGATGATGACAACAATGATGACGACGGCGGTGGCGGCGACGATGACAACAATGACGACGATGATGGCGACGACGATGACAACAATGATGACAACAATGACGACGATGATGGCGGCGACGATGACAACAATGACGACGATGATGGCGACGATGATGACGACAATGATGACAACAATGACGACGATGATGGCGACAATGATGACGATGATGGCGACAATGACGACGATGATGGCGACAATGATGACGACAATGATGGCGACAATGATGACGACAATGACAACAATGATGACGACGACGATGACAACAATGACGATGATGATGGCGGCGACGATGACAACAATGACGACGATGATGGCGACGACGATGACAACAATGACGACGGTGGTGGCGGCGATGATGACAACAATGACGACGATGATGGCGACGACGATGACAACAATGATGACAACAATGACGACGATGATGGCGGCGACGATGACAACAATGACGACGATGATGGCGACGATGATGACAACAATGACGACGATGATGGCGACGATGATGACAACAATGACGACGATGATGGCGACGATGATGACAACAATGACGACGATGATGGCGACGACGATGACAACAATGATGACAACAATGACGACGATGATGGCGGCGACGATGACAACAATGACGACGATGATGGCGACAATGATGACAACAATGACGACGATGATGGCGACGATGATGACAACAATGACGACGATGATGGCGGCGACGATGACAACAATGACGACGATGATGGCGGCGATGATGACAACAATGATGACGACGGCGGTGGCGGCGACGATGACAACAATGACGATGATGATGGCGGCGACGATGACAACAATGATGACGATGACAACAATGACGACGATGATGGCGACGACGATGACAACAATGACGACGATGATGGCGGCGATGATGACAACAATGACGACGATGATGGCGACGACGATGACAACAATGACGACGATGATGGCGGCGATGATGACAACAATGACGACGGCGGTGGCGGCGACGATGACAACAATGACGACGATGATGGCGACGACGATGACAACAATGACGACGGCGGTGGCGGCGACGATGACAACAATGACGACGATGATGGCGACGACGATGACAACAATGATGACAACAATGACGACGATGATGGCGGCGACGATGACAACAATGACGACGATGATGGCGACGATGATGACAACAATGACGACGATGATGGCGGCGAAGATGACAACAATGACGACGATGATGGCGGCGATGATGACAACAATGACGACGATGATGGCGGCGACGATGACAACAATGACGACGATGATGGCGGCGATGATGACAACAATGACGACGATGATGGCGGCGATGATGACAACAATGACGACGATGATGGCGACGACGATGACAACAATGATGACAACAATGACGACGATGATGGCGGCGATGATGACAACAATGATGACGACGGCGGTGGCGGCGACGATGACAACAATGACGACGATGATGGCGACGACGATGACAACAATGATGACAACAATGACGACGATGATGGCGGCGACGATGACAACAATGACGACGATGATGGCGACGATGATGACAACAATGACGACGATGATGGCGGCGACGATGACAACAATGACGACGATGATGGCGACGATGATGACGACAATGATGACAACAATGACGACGATGATGGCGACAATGATGACGATGATGGCGACAATGACGACGATGATGGCGACAATGATGACGACAATGATGGCGACAATGATGACGACAATGACAACAATGATGACAACAATGACGACGACGATGACAACAATGATGACAACAATGACGACGATGATGACGACGACGATGACAACAATGACGACGATGATGACGACGACGATGACAACAATGACGACGATGATGGCGGCGACGATGACAACAATGACGACGATGATGGCGGCGATGATGACAACAATGATGACGACGGCGGTGGCGGCGACGATGACAACAATGACGACGATGATGGCGGCGATGATGACAACAATGACGACGATGATGGCGACGACGATGACAACAATGATGACAACAATGACGACGATGATGGCGGCGATGATGACAACAATGACGACGATGATGGCGACGATGATGACAACAATGACGACGATGATGGCGACGACGATGACAACAATGATGACAACAATGACGACGATGATGGCGGCGACGATGACAACAATGACGACGATGATGGCGACGATGATGACAACAATGACGACGATGATGGCGACGACGATGACAACAATGATGACAACAATGACGACGATGATGGCGGCGACGATGACAACAATGACGACGATGATGGCGACGATGATGACAACAATGACGACGATGATGGCGGCGACGATGACAACAATGACGACGATGATGGCGGCGATGATGACAACAATGATGACAACAATGACGACGATGATGGCGGCGACGATGACAACAATGACGACGATGATGGCGACGATGATGACAACAATGACGACGATGATGGCGGCGACGATGACAACAATGACGACGATGATGGCGACGACGATGACAACAATGATGACAACAATGACGACGATGATGGCGGCGACGATGACAACAATGACGACGATGATGGCGGCGACGATGACAACAATGACGACGATGATGGCGACGATGATGACGACAATGATGACAACAATGACGACGATGATGGCGACAATGATGACGATGATGGCGACAATGACGACGATGATGGCGACAATGATGACGACAATGATGGCGACAATGATGACGACAATGATGACAACAATGACGACGATGATGACAACAATGACGACGATGATGGCGACAATGACGACGATGATGGCGACAATGATGACGACAATGATGACAACAATGACGACGGTGATGGCGGCGACGACGACAATGACGGCGGCGACGACGACGACGACGATGACAACAAATATGACGACAGCGGCGACAACGACACCGTCATCATTGTTGTCATCGCCGTCGTCGTCACCACCGCTGCCGTCATCGACGACGACGGCGATGATGGCAACAACAACAACAACGACGACGACGACGACGACGCGTTCGTCATATCACCGTACCGGAAGTGTAACAACAATAACGATTGAGCATTCACGCGTCAATCTGACGCAGTCCGTTCTGCTGCGTCGCCGCGCGTTGTTGTCGCAACGCCAAATTGGATTGATGACGCGGCGATGAACGTATTCGGGTAGAGCGCGTGCTTGTTATGACGCGAATCGCACGCGACGCTATCGAGCGAACGGAGCCACGTCGCGGCGCGGCTGGGAATGAGCGGTCGCGTCGCGGCCGCCTCAGCGAGGCGCCGTGGTCGCACGAAGCGTTGGGGCGCCGCCGGATGCTTCTGGGCGCTACTCCCACGTGCGCTCCGGCCTTTCGGTTCGGCCTGCGGAGGCTTCTCGCGCGTCACCGCCCACTGCGCTCTGTTAACGTGCAGCAACGCGGCTGTTTCCTCCAACGCCGTGTTCTTCGGGAAACGCAACCGCTGCCCGCGTTTTAGAGGAGAACAGTCCGTGCATGTCTCCGTCCGTGACGACCCGAGCACCTCGCTGGCTCTCCTCCCCGTCCGCGGGGGGGGGGGGGGGGGGGGGGGGGGCTGGTGAGCCGGTGAGAACGGAGCCCCGCGGCAAGGCCGCGGTTTGCCGTTTGCCGCTCGCCTCCCCGGGAGAACGGGCGGGCGAATCTAGCCGACGGTTCGCCCCCAAACCGAAAGATCTCGGCGGTAAAATTTTTGGAGGAGGAATCAAGATGAGGTATGAAGCTCGTTTTTTTGCAGTCACAATAAAAGCGAATAACCGATGGGAGTGTCAAAAGAGATCAAAGGAAAGCGGAGTCGCGAAAAAAAAACAAAAAAACAGAATACAAAAAGGAAAACGAAGTCGTAGCCGCCTTTCCTCCTCCAGCGCGGTGGTAGTTGCGCTCCTACAGAACACCGCCTTGTGGAAAATTCACGTCACAATAAACAATGTCGGGGGAAAAGCGCAGCCGGCGATGACGCGCGAGACGCGTACACGTGCCGCACGGAGACCGGGGCGCTCGCTCGCTCGCTCGCTTGGCGTCCTGAAGCAGCACCCAGCGCCTCGCCGCCACCGCTCATTCCCCCTGGCCCTGCCGACGTAGATCCGCCCGCTCTGGCCGCGTGCCGCGTGCTAACAAGGACGCGCTCCCCGACGCGCCTCGCCACCCCCGTGCCGCCCTTCGCCCCGTCTCCGTCGCCAGGACCCCGCGGGCCGGATTCGGCGTCGCCGACGTCGGCGCGCGGTGACGAGGACGGCGGCGGCAGCGGCGACGGCGGTGGCGGCGAGCTGCTGGTGTTCCCGCGCGTCACCTACCTGGGCAGCGCCAGCGTGGACGCCCCGCGCAGCGAGCTGGAGGCGCTGCGCGTGGCGGCGATCCTGCGCCAGCAGTGCCTGGCGCCGCTGGAGGTGGCGCTCGCTGTGCCCACCGCCTCCGGGGGCTCCGTGCGGTGAGGGCGGTGCGGTGCGTGTGGTGTGTGTGGTCCGTGTGGTGCGTGTGGTGTGTGTGTATGTGTGGTGCGTGCGGTGCGTGTGGTGCGTGTGGTGCGTGTGGTGCGTGTGATGCGTGTGGTGCGTGTGGTGCGTGTGGTGCGTGTGATGCGTGTGGTGTGTGTGTGCGTGTGGTGTGTGTGGTGTGTGTGGTGTGTGTGGTGCGTGTGGTGCGTGTGGTGTGTGTGTGTGTGTGGTGCGTGTGGTGCGTGTGGTGTGTGTGTGTGTGGTGTGTGTGGTGCGTGTGGTGCGTGTGTGTGTGTGGTGCGTGTGGTGTGTGTGTGTGTGGTGCGTGTGGTGCGTGTGGTGTGTGTGTGTGTGGTGTGTGTGGTGCGTGTGGTGCGTGTGTGTGTGTGGTGTGTGTGGTGCGTGTGGTGCGTGTGGTGTGTGGTGCGTGTGGTGCGTGTGGTGCGTGTGTTGCGTGTGGTGCGTGTGGTGCGTGTGGTGCGTGTGGTGTGTGTGGTGTGTGTGGTGTGTGTGTGCGTGTGGTGTGTGTGGTGTGTGGTGTGTGTGGTGCGTGTGGTGCGTGTGGTGTGTGTGTGTGTGGTGCGTGTGGTGTTTGTGTGTGTGTGGTGCGTGTGGTGTGTGTGTGTGGTGTGTGTGGTGTGTGTGGTGCGTGTGGTGCGTGTGGTGCGTGTGGTGTGTGTGTGTGTGTGTGGTGTGTGTGGTGTGTGTGGTGCGTGTGGTGCGTGTGGTGTGTGTGTGTGGTGCGTGTGGTGTGTGTGTGTGTGGTGTGTGTGGTGCGTGTGGTGCGTGTGGTGTGTGTGTGTGTGTGGTGCGTGTGGTGCGTGTGGTGTGTGTGTGTGTGGTGTGTGTGGTGCGTGTGGTGCGTGTGGTGTGTGGTGCGTGTGGTGCGTGTGGTGCGTGTGTGTGTGGCGTGTGGTGTGTGTGTGTGGTGTGTGTGGTGCGTGTGGTGCATGTGGTGTGTGTGTGTGTGTGGTGCGTGTGGTGTGTGTGATGTGTGTGGTGCGTGTGGTGTGTGTGATGCGTGTGGTGCGTGTGGTGTGTGTGTGTGTGGTGTGTGTGTGGTGTGTGTGGTGCGTGTGGTGTGTGTGGTGTGTGTGTGTGTGTGTGGTGCTTGTGGTGCGTGTGGTGCGTGTGTGTGGTGTGTGTGGTGCGTGTGGTGTGTGTGTGTGTGTGGTGCGTGTGGTGCGTGTGGTGCGTGTGTGTGTGTGTGGTGTGTGTGGTGTGTGTGGTGCGTGTGGTGCGTGTGGTGCGTGTGTGTGGTGTGTGTGGTGCGTGTGGTGTGTGTGGTGTGTGTGTGTGTGTGGTGTGTGTGGTGCGTGTGGGGCGTGTGGTGTGTGTGTGTGTGGTGCGTGTGGTGCGTGTGGTGCGTGTGGTGCGTGTGTGTGGTGTGTGTGGTGCGTGTGGTGTGTGTGGTGTGTGTGTGTGTGTGGTGTGTGTGGTGCGTGTGGTGCGTGTGGTGCGTGTGTGTGTGTGGTGTGTGTGGTGCGTGTGGTGCGTGTGGTGCGTGTGGTGCGTGTGGTGCGTGTGGTGCGTGTGGTGCGGTGCTATTTTCGTTGTGGTCGGGCGGCGTCGGATCGCGGTGCGCGGCTGAAGACGGCGAAGGACTCCGCCGTTAACGTTCACTTGCCCAACCACCCACTCACCAACCCACTCACTCAGCCACCCAACCACCCACTCACCAACCCACTCACTCAGCCACCCAACCACCCACTTACCAACCCACTCACTCAGCCACCCAACCACCCACTCACTCAGCCATCCAACCACCCACTCACCAACCCACTCACTCAGTTACCCAACCACCCACTCACCAACCCACTCACTCAGCCACCCAACCACCTACTCACCAACCTACTCACTCAGCCACCCAACCACCCACTCACCAACCCACTCACTCAGCCACCCAACCACCCACTTACCAACCCACTCACTCAGCCACCCAACCACCCACTCACTCAGCCATCCAACCACCCACTCACCAACCCACTCACTCAGTTACCCAACCACCCACTCACCAACCCACTCACTCAGCCACCCAACCACCCACTCACCAACCCACTCACTCAGCCATCCAACCACCCACTCACCAACCCACTCACTCAGTCACCCAACCACCCACTCACCAACCCACTCACTCAGTCACCCAACCACCCACTCACCAACCCACTCACTCAGCCACCCAACCACCCAACCACCCACTCACCAAGCCACTCACTCAGCCACCCAACCACCCAGCAGTGTGTGGATGTCACGGCACCCTGTGTTTGAGACACCCTCATCTCCGTGTCCCCAGGATCCTGGAGGCTGACAGCAGTGTGGAGATTGCCCGCTACCCGGTGCAGCGCATCCTGTTCTGTGTGCGTGGCCACCGCACCACCCAGGAGAGCGACTGCTTCGGCTTCACCGAGAGCCACAACGCCGCCGACATCTTCCGCATCCACGTCTTCCGCTGCCCCGAGCCACACGAGGTCACTACGCCCACGCTCGCTGGTTCACTCGCACACCCGCTCACTCGCACACACACCCACTCGCTCGCTCACTCGCACACACTCTCACTCGCACACACTCTCACTCGCACACCCTCTCACTCGCACACCCGCTCACTCGCACACACACACACTCGCTCGCTCACTCACTCGCACACCCGCTCACTCGCACACACACCCACTCACTCGCTCACTCACTCACACACACTCTCACTTGCACACCTGCTCACTCACACACACACCCACTCGCTCACTCACTCGCACACCCGCTCACTCGCACACACACCCACTCGCTCGCTCACTCACACACACTCTCACTCGCACACCCGCTCACTCACACACACACCCACTCGCTCGCTCACTCACTCGCACACACTCTCACTCACACACCCACTCGCTCGCTCACTCGCACACCCGCTCACTCGCACACCCTCTCACTCGCACACACACCTACTCGCACACACCCACTCGCTCGCTCATTCACTCGCACACCCGCTCACTCGCACACACACCCACTCGCACACACACCCACTCGCACACACACCCACTCGCACACACACCCACTCGCTCGCTCACTCGCACACACACCCACTCGCACACACACCCACTCGCTCGCTCACTCGCACACCCACTCACTTGCACACACACCCACTCGCTCACTCGCACACCCGCTCACTCGCACACACACCCACTTGCTCGCTCACTCGCACACCTGCTCACTCGCACACACCCACTCGCTCGCTCACTCGCACACCCGCTCACTCGCACACACACCCACTCGCTCACTCGCACACCCGCTCACTCGCACACACACCCACTCGCTCGCTCACTCACACACCCTCTCACTCGCACACACACCCTCTCACTTGCTCACTCGCACACACACCCACTCGCTCGCTCACTCGCACACCCGCTCACACACCCTCTCACTCGCACACCCGCTCACTCGCACACACACCCACTCTCTCGCTCACTCACACACCCTCTCACTTGCACACCTGCTCACACACCCACTCTCTCACACACACATCCACTCGCTCGCTCACTCACTCGTTCGCTGACTCATACACCCGCTCACTCACCCTCTCACTCGCACACCCTCTCACTCGCACACCCTCTCATTCGCACACCCGCTAACACACCCTCTCACTCGCTCACTCGCACACCCGCTCACACACCCACTCGCTCGCTCACACGCCCACCCACACACCCGCTCACCCACTCACCCGCTCACTCACTCGTTCGCTGACTCATACACCCGCTCACTCACCCGCTCGCACACCCACCCACACACCCGCTCACCCACTCACCCGCTCGCTCACTCACTCGTTCGCTGACTCATACAACCGCTCACTCACCCGCTCGCACACCCACCCACACACCCGCTCACCGACTCGCTCGCTCGCTCACTCACTCACTCGTTCGCTGACTCATACACCCGCTCACTCACCCGCTCGCACACCCACCCACACACCCGTTCACCCACTCACCCGCTCGCTCACTCACTCGTTCGCTGACTCATACACCCGCTCACTCACTCGCTCGCACACCCACCCACACACCCACACACCCGCTCACCCGCTCACCGACTCGCTCGCTCACTCGTCCCCCCGGCAGGTGAGCCGTCTGCTGCACGGCTTCGCCGCGGCGTTCGAGGTTTGCGCCCGGCCCACCGGAGCCGGAGCCGGAGCCGGAGCGTCGGGGCCTGGCTCCAGTCCGGCACTCACGGCCTCCACCCCCAACCCCGACCTCTTCACCTTTACCGTCGCCATGGAGATCAGGGAGGATGACGGGAAGGGGAACTTCAGGTGATGACGATGGTGGTGGTGGCGGTGGTGGTGACGACGGAGGGCGTGGACGTGCCGGTGGTTGCGTGCGCGGCACGACAAACGCAGCCGCCCCGTGGCGAATTTACCAGCGCTGGGCCTCCCCTAGGTTTATTCGGCCTTAACCAAGCACCTGGAGCAGTGTGTATGAAGCGGCAGCACTGGGGAGACAAAGACGGCCGGGCGTGGTTGCTGTTGCCAGGCCTCCACCCCCCCCCCCCGCCGTCACAGGTGCTACTCGCTGTAACAGCACTTGCCCCAGCACATCCGTTAAGGCCACACGGGGGGACCTTTGTCTTTGTTGTGCGGCAGTGCGGTGCCCGTGGACAAGGAGAAGCAGTACTTCAAGTTGCGCTCGGGCGTCGAGAAGAAACTCGTTCTGAACGTGAACCAAGCTTCCAGCCGCGAGCTCACCATCGAACGGTAGCGACGCCCGGCCACCCGCTCACTCGCTCGTCCGCTCGCTCACCCGCTCACCCGCTCGCTCACCCGCTCACCCGCTCGCTCACCCGCTCGCTCACCCGCTCGCTCACCCGCTCGTTCATTAACCTAATGACTCACTCACATGCTCACTCACTCACCCACTCACTCGCTCACTCACCCACTCACTCACCCACTCACCCATTCACTCGCTCACTCACTCACCCACTCGCTCTCTCACCCGCTCATTCATTAATCTAATGACCCACTCACATGCTCAATCACTCACCTGCGCACTCACCCGGTCACTCATGAACCTGAGCACCCATTCACACGCTCACAAACTCTTTTACCTGCTCTTTCATTAACCTAATGACTCACTCACCCGCTCTCTCACCTGCTCGTTCATTAACATAACCACCAACTCACTCACTCACCCACTCATTCCTTATCCTAACCACCCACTCACATGCTCACTAACCCACTCGTTCATTCATCTACACAGCCACCCACTCACACGCTCACTAACCTACTCGTTCATTCATTTAAACAGCCACCCACTCACACGCTCACTAACCCACTCGTTCATTCACTTACACAACCACCCACTCACACGCTCGCTAACCCACTCGTTAATTCACTTACACAACCACCCACTCACACGCTCACTAGCCCACTCGTTCATTCACTTACACAGCCACCCACTCACACGCTCACTAACCCACTCGTTCATTCATCTACACAGCCACCCACTCACACGCTCACTAACCCACTCGTTCATTCATCTACACAGCCACCCACTCACACGCTCACTAACCTACTCGTACATTCACTTACACAACCACCCACTCACACGCTCACTAACCTACTCGTTAATTCACTTACACAACCACCCACACGCTCACCAACCCACTCGTTCATTCAATTACACAGCCACCCACTCACACGCTCACTAACCTACTCGTTCATTCACTTACACAACCACCCACTCACACGCTCACTAACCCACTCGTTCATTCACTTACACAGCCACCCACTCACACGCTCACTAACCCACTCGTTCATTCATCTACACAGCCACCCACTCACACGCTCACTAACCTACTCGTCCATTCACTTACACAACCACCCACTCACACGCTCACTAACCCAATCGTTCATTCATTTACACAACCACCCACTCACACGCTCACTAACCCACTCGTTCATTCACTTACACAACCACCCACTCACACGCTTACTAACTCACTCATTCATTCACTTACACAACCACCCACTCACACGCTCACTAACCCACTCGTTCATTCACTTACACAGCCACCCACTCACACGCTCACTAACCCACTCGTTCATTCATCTACACAACCACCCACTCACACGCTCACTAACCCACTCGTTCATTCACTTACACAACCACACACTCACACGCTCACTAACCCACTCGTTCATTCACTTACACCACCACCCACTCACACGCTCACTAACCCACTCGTTCATTCACTTACACAACCACCCACTCACACGCTCACTAACCCACTCGTTAATTCACTTACACAGCCACCCACTCACACGCCCACTAACCCACTCGCTCACCACGTGGCTCTCAGTGCCACGTGGTCACCGCGAGGCGGCGCTGTCCACCAGTGGCTGGTGCTGGACACTCGAACCCGGCGGCTTCTGCGTCGGCGTTGTGAACGACGCCGACGCAGAAGATCCCTTGGCGTGTGATCTCATGGTCCACAAGCCATGGCAGCAGATGCGGATGCCTGATGATGCACAAATGGAAAATAAATCAAATAAAACTCTCCAGCAGTGCGCGACTGTGCTCATCCAGAACGGACCGTGCGTCGCATAACGGACGCGATTCCCCCAATCCGCCAATACAAAGGAGAGACATCACAGCGATGCGCTCCGCTGCTGCTCCTGACGCGGTGGTCTGGCCTGACCACCTGAATGTGAAATTGTAATTGTTGGTCTGCATCTACATCAGCCACACAACAACAACAACAAGTAGATTGGTGTTCATCGGGTTCATCGTGACAATTCCTCCTGCTCCTCCCTCCCCCTTCACCCCCTCCTCCCACCTCCTCCTCCCTCACCCTCCCTTCTCCCCCTCCACCCCCTCCTCCCATCAACCGCGTCAGAACGTCAGCAGCAAGCCGATGTGCTCCATTAATGGAATATTAAAGTTACCAGCCACAGTACAGCGGTGTGATTGTGGCCACGCAGACCGCACTATTGCCCGAACAGTAAACCCGTAGAGACGCACAGAGACTCATAGAGACACGTAGAGACCCAGAGAGACACGTAGAGACCCACAGAGATACGTAGAGACGCACAGAGACTCATAGAGACACGTAGAGACCCAGAGAGATACTCAGAGACCCACAGAGATACGTAGACACCCACAGAGACTCATAGAGATGCTTAGAGACACAGAGACTCAAAGAGATAGAGACCCGTAGATATTCTTAGAGACCCACAGATACTCATAGAGACCCATAGAGATGCATAGAGACTCATATCAATATATAGATACCCGTAGATACACACTGATACCCAAATGCAGAGATTCATTATAAACAAGCCACAGTACAGCGGTGTGATTGTGGCCAGGCAGACCACACTATTGGCCGAACATTAAACCCGTAGAGACACACAGAGACGCATAGAGATACAGAGACCCTTAGAGATACTTCGACACTCAACGACACTCGCAGAGACCCATAGAGATGCATATACATACATAGAGACCCATGGAGATACATAGAGACTCACAGATACCCATATAGAGAGATACATTATAAACAAGCCACAGTACAGAAGTGTGATTGTGGCCATGCAACCCACACTATGGACCATATAGTAAAGTCATAGAGACACGTAGACACTCATTGAGATACGTAGAGACCCACAGATATAGATAGACTCATAGAGACCCATAGAGATACACAGAGACTCATAGAGATGCATAGATACCCATAGAGATACACAGAGACTCATAGAGATGCATGGATCACCATAGAGATATACAGAGACTCATAGAGATGCATGGATGCCCATAGATATACACAGAGACTCATAGAGATGCATAGATACCCATAGAGATACACAGAGACTCGTAGAGATGCATAGAGACCCATAGAGATACACAGAAACTCATAGAGATGCATAGAGACCCATAGAGACTAATAGAGATGCATAGATCACCATAGATATACAGAGACTCATAGAGATGCATAGAGGCCCATAGAGACCCATAGAGATACGCAGAGACTCATAGAGCTGCATAGATACCCATAGAGATACACAGAGACTCATAGAGATGCATAGATCACCATAGAGATACACAGAGACTCATAGCGATGCATAGATACCCATAGAAATGCACAGAGACTCATAGAGATGCATAGATACCCATAGAAATGCACAGAGACTCATAGAGATGCATAGAGACCCATAGAGATACACAGAGACTCATAGAGATGCATAGGGACCCATAGAGATTCACAGAAACTCATAGAGATACACAGAGACTCATAGAGATACACAGAGACTCATAGAGATGCATAGATCACCATAGAGATACACAGTGACTCGTAGAGATGCATAGGTGCCCATAGAGATACACAGAGACTCGTAGAGATGCATAGAGACCCATAGAGATACACAGAAACTCATAGAAATGCATAGAAACCTATAGAGATGCATAGAGACCCATAGAGACTCATAGAGATGCATAGATCACCATAGATTCCCATAGATACACAGAGACTCATAGAGATGCATAGAGGCCCATAGAGACCCATAGAGATACACAGAGACCCATAGAGACTAATAGAAATGCATAGATCACCATAGATATACAGAGACTCATAGAGATGCATAGAGGCCCATAGAGATACGCAGGGACTCATAGAGATGCATAGATACCCATAGAGACACACAGAGACTCATAGAGATGCATAGATCACCATAGAGATACACAGAGACTCATAGAGATGCATAGATACCCATAGAAATACACAGAGACTCATAGAGATGCATAGAGACCAATAGAGATACACAGAGACTCATAGAGATGCATAGAGACACATAGAGATACACAGAAACTCATAGAGATACACAGAGACTCATAGAGATACACAGAGACTCATAGAGATGCATAGATCACCATAGAGATACACAGTGACTCGTAGAGATGCAAAGATGCCCATAGAGATACACAGAGACTCATAGAGATGCATAGAGACCCATAGAGATACACAGAAACTCATAGAGATGCATATATACCCATAGAGATACACAGAGACTCATAGAGATGCATAGATACCCATAGAGATACACAGAGACTCGTAGAGATGCATAGAGACCCATAGAGATGCACAGAAACTCATAGAGATGCATAGAAACCTATAGAGATGCATAGAGATGCATAGAGACCCATAGAGACTCATAGAGATACACAGAGACTCATAGAGATGCATAGATACCCATAGAGATACACAGAGACTCATAGAGATGAATAGAGGCCCATAGAGACCCATAGAGATACACAGAGACTCATAGAGATGCATAGAGACGCATAGAGACACACAGAGACTTATATAGATGCATAGATCACCATAGAGATATACAGAGACTCATAGAGATGCATAGATCACCATAGAGATACACAGAGACTAATATAGATGCATAGATACCCATAGAGATACACAGAGACTCATAGAGATGCATAGATGCCCATAGAGATACACAGAGACTCATAGAGATGCATAGATACCCATAGAGATACACATAGACTCATAGAGATGCATAGAGACCCATAGAGATACACAGAGACTCATAGAGATGCACAGAGACCCATAGAGATACACAGAAACTCATAGAGATGCATAGAAACCCATAGAGATGCATAGAGACTCATAGAGATGCATAGATACCCATAGAGATACACAGAGACTCAGAGAGATGCATAGAGACCCATCGAGATGCTCAGAGACTCATATAGATGCATAGATCACCATAGAGATACACAGAGACTCATAGAGATTCATAGAAACCCATAGAGATGCACAGAGACTCATAGAGATGCATAGAGACTCATAGAGATACACAGCGACTCATAGAGATGCATAGAGACCCATAGAGATACACAGAGACTCGTAGAGATGCATAGATACCCATAGAGATACACTGAGACTCATAGAGATGCATAGAGACCCATAGAGACCCATAGAGACTCATAGAGATGTATAGAGACCCATAGAGATACACAGAGACTCATAGAGATGCATAGATACCCATAGAGATAAACAGAGACTCGTAGAGATGCATAGAGACCCATAGAGATACACAGAAACTCATAGAGATGCATATAAACCCATAGAGATGCATAGAGATGCATAGCGACTCATGGAGATGCATAGAAACCCATAGAGATACACAGAGACTCACAGAGATGCATAGATACCCATAGAGATACACAGAGACTCATAGAGATGCATAGAGATGCATAGAGACCCATAGAGATACACAGAAACTCATAGAGATGCATAGATACCCATAGAGATACACAGAGACTCAGAGAGATGCATAGAGACCCATAGAGATGCACAGAGACTCATATAGATGCATAGATCACCATAGAGATACACAGAGACTCATAGAGATTCATAGAAACCCATAGAGATGCACAGAGACTCATAGAGATGCATAGAGACCCATAGAGATACACAGAGACTCGTAGAGATGCATAGATACCCATAGAGACCCATAGAGACTCATAGAGATGCATAGAGACCCATAGAGATACACAGAGACTCATAGAGATGCATAGATACCCATAGATACACAGAGACTCGTAGAGATGCATAGATGCCCATAGAGATACACAGAGACTCATAGAGATGCATCGATACCCATAGAGATACACAGACTCATAGAGATGCATAGAGACCCATAGAGATACACAGAGACTCATAGAGATGCATAGAGATACACAGAGACTCATAGAGATATACATAGACTCATAGAGATACACAGAGACGCATAGAGATGCACAGAGACCCATAGAGATACACAGAGACTTGTAGAGATGCATAGATACCCGTAGAGATACACAGAGACTCGTAGAGATTCATAGATACCCATAGAGTAAACCCATAGAGACATAGCGACTCAGAGAGACGTAAAGAGAGCCACAGAGACTCGTAGAGATGCATAGAGACCCATAGAGATACACAGAGACTCATAGAGATGCATAGAGACCCATAGAGATATACAGACTCGTAGAGATGCATAGAGACCCATAGAGATATACAGAGACTCATAGAGATGCATAGAGACCCATAGAGATACACAGAGACTCGTAGAGATGCATAGATACCCATAGAGTAAACCCATAGAGACATAGAGACTCAGAGAGACGTAAAGAGACCCACAGAGACTCGTAGCCATACACAGAGACCCATAGAGACCCCACAGAGACTCATAGAGATACACATAGACTCGTAGAGATTCATAGATACCCATAGAGTAAACCCATAGAGACATAGCAACTCAGAGAGACGTAAAGAGACCCACAGAGACTCGTAGAGATGCATAGAGACCCATAGAGACCCACAGAGACTCATAGAGATACACTAAGACTCGTAGAGATACATAGAGACCCATAGAGACCCACAGAGACCCATAGAGATACACAGAGACTCATAGAGATACACAGAGACCCATAGAGATACACAGAGACCCATAGAGATACACAGAGACTCATAGAGATGCACAGAGACCCATAGAGATACACAGAGACTCATAGAGATACACTAAGACTCGTAGAGATGCATAGAGACCCATAGAGACCCACAGAGACTCATAGAGATACACAGAGACTCATAGAGACACACAGAGACTCATAGAGATACACAGAGACTCATAGAGATACACAGAGACCCACAGAGACGCATTCTGACCACACCACCCCGTCGTGTGCCGTGCCGGACTTCACAGGCGCTAGTCGCTAACACGGCACTTGCCCCAACAATCTGTGAATGCTCTACGGGGGATCTTTGTCTTTGTGTTAACGTGCGCTTGGCCGTCGGAGGCATTTGGCATTGACGTTCGCGATTTAAGCCGAAGAAGCGCGCCGACTTTGTGGGTTAGAATTCCGATCTCAAAAGAACTTTGTGGCTAAATGCATATCCGTGTACACACATGTTACGCGTATATATATGTGTACTAATGTGTGAAGAAGATAAAAAAATACATGACAAATTCTCCCGTAAATATTTAACGAAATGCGGTCCCCGGCTCGCAGCGTTGTGACTGTACGTTCTAAATCACTCTTCCTTCAGTTCTTTCTCGCGTTCAATAATCCATTATATTATTTTCCTCCTGACGACTGTAATTATATTTTTTGCCCCCACTACTTTACCGGCGTTCCGCGATCCAGACAATTTTTTTTTTTAAATTGGAGGCCTCTCCCCTCCCCCCCCCACTGCAACCCCCACCCCCCGAGACCTCACACAGAGACCCACGGACTCACGCAGAGACCCATAGACTCACATAGAGACCCGCGGACTCACACAGAGACCCATGGACTCACACAGAGACCCATTGACTTACACAGAGACCCATTCACTCGCACAGAGACCCATGGACTCATACAGAGACTCATGGACTCACACAGAGACCCATAGACTCACACTGAGACCCATAGACTCACACAGAGACCCATAGACTCACACAGAGACCCATAGACTCACACAGAGACCCATAGACTCACACAGAGACCCATGGACTCACACAGAGACCCATAGACAAAGGGAGACCCATTGACTCACACAGAGACCCATAGACTCACACAGAGACCCATGGACTCGCATAGACTGGGCTGTGATGCGCCTGGGTTCTCAGGCAGGTTACCAAATGAATTGACACAAAAAACAAACTCATCCCTTGAAATTGGACGCTGTATTTACTTAATTCGGCTGAATTTCAGCTCTGAGAATTAAACATCGATTTGACCGTGACACGATGACTGTCAATGCAACTATTAAACTATTTATTTTACCAGTTAAGGCCCCACTGAGCTATGTAGATCTTTTATCAGAAGCGACCTGGCAATCACAAACGAAAGCTCAACGAAGTGGCTTATCATCGCGTGGAAATGTATATCAGCACCCAAATGTTGTAGAAAATGCAGGGAAAAACCGGAGGACCCGGAGAAAACTCTACGCGGCTACCAGGAGAGAGAGAGAGAGAGACACGCAAACTCCAAATATACAGCATGCGTCAGGGTCGGGATCGACCCCACGACCTCCTGTATACCAGGCGAGGTAGTTAACATCTCCTAGCCACCGTGATGATGATGAGAGAGAGAGACACGCAAACTCCAAATAATACAGCATGCGTCAGGGTCGGGATCGAACCCACGACCTCCTGTATAACAGGCGTGGTAGTTAACATCTCCTAGCCACCGTGATGATGATGAGAGAGAGAGACACGCAAACTCCAAATAATACAGCATGCGTCAGGGTCGGGATCGAACCCACGACCTCCTGCACACCAGGCGAGGTAGTTAACATCTCCTAGCCACCGTGATGATGATGAGAGAGAGACACGCAAACTCCAAATAATACAGCATGCGTCAGGGTCGGGATCGAACCCACGACCTCCTGTATACCATGCGAGGTAGTTAACATCTCCTAGCCACCGTGATGATGATGATGAGAGAGACACGCAAACTCCAAATAATACAGCATGCGTCAGGGTCGGGATCGAACCCACGACCTTCTGTATACCAGGCGAGGTAGTTAACATCCCCTAGCCACCGTGATGATGATGAGAGAGAGAGACACGCAAACTCCAAATAATACAGCATGCGTCAGGGTCGGGATCGAACCCACGACCTCCTGTATACCAGGCGAGGTAGTTAACATCTCCTAGCCACCGTGATGATGATGATGAGAGAGACACGCAAACTCCAAATAATACAGCATGCGTCAGGGTCGGGATCGAATCCACGACCTCCTGCATACCAGGCGAGGTAGTTAACATCTCCTAGCCAGCGTGGTGCCCAATGTCCTCCGCAGTGCGAGTGGGACAATGCTGCCCTGTACCACGTGGACCTGACGTCACCAGAGGTCACGTGATCTCAGAGGTAGCTCTGTGACATCCACTTCCGTGTGCTCTGCGAGAGAATCACGAACGAGTCTCCGTCTCGGGACGCGGCTCCGCCGGTAGTGCAGCCTTTGAAGTTCGAACGTCTCTGTTACATTTTTGACTTAAAACTTTTGTGACTGCAAAGAAAACCCCCCCACGACGTTTCGACCGCAACACAAGCGGTCTTCATCAGGCGGAGAGTCTCTGTTACGTTAACCAACCGCGGGATCTGGCAGAAGGAAGGAAGCGATGGCGAGGCGTGGTGGCATCCAGTGGCACGTTCTGTGATGACCACTTGACCTTTGTTGTTGTAATCTCAAGAAATACAAACTGGTAAAATGATCTTGTTTCTTGTGTCTGCCAACCCTTGACCCCACTAACCCTGACCCCACTAACCCTGACCCCACCGACCCTGACCCCACTAACCCTGACCCCCCCAACCCTGACCCCACCGACCCTGACCTCACCTACCCAGGTGTTTTGGCGTCTTTCTTGGCCCTGGGTGTGGAGTTCAACCGGGAGACCTTCACCTCCTCAACATGGTATGTCCGCAGCCCAACGTTGATGGGTGGGTGGGTGGGGGGGGGCTAAAGAAGAAAATAAAAATCCACAATCTGAAAAAAAACGTAGACTCGCTAAAAACGTTGCGCCTGGAAGTTTGAAAAATTCGTCCGAGCGCCGAGCGAGAAAGAGATGCACGCACACGTGCACACGCACGCTCACTCACATGTTCAAAGACTAAAGGTTCCCCGTATAGCCTGAATGGAATTTTGGGGCAAGTGCTGTTAGCGAGCAGCAGCACCTATGAAGGCGAGCACGGTGGCACACGAGGGGGTTGGTGGCCAGCGCCACGCACGGTCGCCTTTGTCTCCCCCCGTGGCGATGTTTTTACACACCGCGCCAGGTACTCATTTGAGGCTGACTCGACCTAGGGGAGGCCCAGCACCGGTTCAGATGATCGTCACCGGTGTTGGCCGTGAGCGGGAATCGAACTCGGGTCGCTGGGTTCGTAGCGCAGTGCGCTAACCGCTACACCACCGCTCCCCACACAGACACACGAACGTACGCACTCGCACGTACACACACACTCACTCGTACACACGCGCACATGGACACACGCACACATGCACCCATGCACCCTCATACACACTCACACACCCACATGCACACGCACGCTTTTGACCAGGGGGACCATTTGCATTTTTCATTTGAGCAGTTCAATATTTTAAGAGTCGCAGCAAAAGTAAACGGCCCCCTCCTACCAAGAGAAGCACTCAGTGTGTAACTCGTCTCCTACTCAGTGTGTAACCTGTCTCCTACTCAGTGTGTAACCTGTCTCCTGTTCAGTGTGTAACCTGTCTCCTGTTCAGTGTGTAACCTGTCTCCTGTTCAGTGTGTAACCCGTCTCTTACTCAGTGTGTAACCTGTCTCCTACTCAGTGTGTAACCTGTCTCTTACTCAGTGTGTAACCCGTCTCTTACTCAGTGTGTAACCTGTCTCCTGTTCAGTGTGTAACCTGTCTCCTACTCAGTGTGTACCCTGTCTCCTACTCAGTGTGTAACCCGTCTCCTACTCAGTGTGTAACCTGTCTCCTACTCAGTGTGTACCCTGTCTCCTACTCAGTGTGTAACCCGTCTCCTACTCAGTGTGTAACCTGTCTCCTACTCAGTGTGTAACCTGTCTCCTACTCAGTGTGTAACCCGTCTCCTACTCAGTGTGTAACCCGTCTCCTACTCAGTGTGTAACCCGTCTCCTACTCAGTGTGTAACCCGTCTCCTACTCAGTGTGTAACCTGTCTCCTACTCAGTGTGTAACCTGTCTCCTACTCAGTGCGTAACCTGTCTCCTACTCAGTGCGTAACCTGTCTCTTACTCAGTGTGTAACCTGTCTCTTACTCAGTGTGTAACCTGTCTCCTACTCAGTGTGTAACCTGTCTCCTACTCAGTGTGTAACCTGTCTCATACTCAGTGTGTAACCTGTCTCCTACTCAGTGTGTAACCTGTCTCATACTCAGTGTGTAACCCGTCTCCTACTCAGTGTGTAACCTGTCTCTTACTCAGTGTGTAACCTGTCTCCTACTCAGTGTGTAACCTGTCTCCTACTCAGTGTGTAACCTGTCTCATACTCAGTGTGTAACCTGTCTCCTACTCAGTGTGTAACCTGTCTCCTACTCAGTGTGTAACCTGTCTCCTACTCAGTGTGTAACCTGTCTCCTACTCAGTGTGTAACCTGTCTCCTACTCAGTGTGTAACCTGTCTCTTACTCAGTGTGTAACCTGTCTCCTACTCAGTGTGTAACCTGTCTCCTACTCAGTGTGTAACCTGTCTCCTACTCAGTGTGTAACCTGTCTCCTACTCAGTGTGTAACCTGTCTCCTACTCAGTGTGTAACCTGTCTCCTACTCAGTGTGTAACCTGTCTCATACTCAGTGTGTAACCTGTCTCCTGTTCAGTGTGTAACCTGTCTCCTGTTCAGTGTGTAACCTGTCTCTTACTCAGTGTGTAACCTGTCTCCTACTCAGTGTGTAACCGGGGTGCGGGGGGGTGCCCAGCAACGATGGCGTTGGCGTGGAGCAGAGAGGAGCTCAAGCGATCCGTCCGTGCGTGTTCCGAGGACGGACGGATCGCACAGGTCCCGGGTCCTCATAAACGCCAGCTGCCCGCACCACCTGCCGCCACGCATTCATAATACCTGTATAATGCATGAGTTTATGCGTGCGTGCGCGCGCGTGCGTGTGTGTGTGTGCGTGTGTGCGTGTGTGCGTGCGTGCGTGCGCGTGTGTGTGCGTGTGTGTGTGTGTGAACGTGTGTGTGTGTGCGCGTGTGTGTGTGCGTGTGTGTGTGTGTGAACGTGTGTGTGTGTGCGCGTGTGTGTGTGTGCGTGTGTGTGTGCGTGCGTGTGTGCGTGTGTGTGTACGTTGGTGTGTGTGTGCGTGTGTGTGTGTGCGTGTGTGTGCGTGTGTGTGTGCGTGTGCGCGTGTGTGTGTGTGTGCGTGTGTGCGTGTGTGTGTGTGTGTGCGTGTGTGTGTGTGTGCGTCCGTGCGGTTGGCGTGTGGCGCCAAGAACCCCGGCGACCCGAGTTCCATTCCCGCTCACGGGAATGGAACCGGCAACGGGCCTCCCCGAGGTCGGCTGTTCAATACCATCCGTGTGTACGATTAGCACGCTGCATCACTTAGGGTGCGAAATAAGCTCAAAAATACATATACGGGATACACAAAGACAAAGATTCCCCCGTTTAGCATACTTTTGGGGCAAGTGTTGTTAACAGCTGTGAAGGCCGGCCACACGAGGGGGTGGGTGGCCAGCACCACGCCCGGCCGCCTTTGTCTCCCCAGTGGCGATGTTTACACACCGCACCAGGTACTTATTTGAGGCCGAGTCGACCTAGGGGGAGGCCCCAGGACCGTTGCAGGTAATCGTCACCGGTGTTGATGGCCGTGAGCGGGAATCGAACTCGGGTCGCCGGAATTCTGAGCGCAGCGCGCTAACCGTTGCGCCACCAATCGTAAAACACGCACGTACACGCACACAATCACCTGGTCAAGTTACATGCATAATACATGCGTGCATACATAATACAAAGGCAGAGATTTTGCTCAAAGCCTTTAACAGACCTCTGGGGCACACGTTCACACATGTATTCATACACACAACAGCAACGACAAAGATCCCCCGCATAGCCTTAACAGACTTTTGGGGCAAGTGCTGTTAGCGAGCGCCTATGAAGGCCGACCACGGTGCGCGAGGGGGTGGGTGGCCAGCACCACGCCCGGCCGCCTTTGTCTCCCCCGTGGCGACGTTTACACACCGCACCAGGTACTCATTAAGAGGCTGAGTCGACCTAGGGGAGGCCCAGGACCGGCTCAGATAATCGTCGCTGGTGTTGGCCGTGAGCGGGAACTGCCGGGGTTTGTAGCGCAGCGCACTAACCGCGCCACTGCCGCTACACTACTCCACGACCGCTTGTGCCAGACTAGGTGCACCTTGAGGCTTAGTGAAGCTAGGAAGGTTTCCTTGCAGGAGGTCGCGGGACAGACCCGAGGTACCATGAGTTGACTGACCGAGATGACTGACAAATGCACCACCCGTGCCGCTCACTGTGCCAACTCGCTGCGTTTTATCCGCCTGGCGCTCCGCTCGTTGTTGTGAGCGTCGCTCCTCCGCCCTCCGCTTGTTGCTGGAGGGGCGACCGCCTCCCAACTGCCCAGCAGCAGCAGCAGCGTCCTTCATGAGCCTCCTCCTCCACGGAGGCCGATCTTGACACGCGTACGCACGCACACACACACGCACGCACGCTCGCGTCTGCGTCGCACGTTCAAGTGTCCTGGCCGTTGGCAATTTATACACCCCGGTGCCTGGCCTTGCCTGGCCCCGAGCCAGATTCAGACGACGTGGTCTCGTGAGGCAAGCAGCGCTGCACGGTTTGGTCCGCCTCGGCTCGGCAAAACGGCAGTGGAACGAAAACCCAACCGGTACCGCAAACGTGCCCACGGTGGCACGGCTCACATGTGCCAGTGGAAACAAAACAAAATAACGGTGTGGCTGTGTCCCTTGCCCGAGAAGCACGGTGGCTATGATATGTTTACTACCTCGCCTGGTATACAGGAGGTCATGGGTTTGATCCCGACCCTGACGCCTGTTGCTGTATATTTGGAGTTTGCGTGTCTCTCTCTCTCATCATCATCACGGTGGCTAGGAGATGTTAACTACCTCGCCTAATGTACAGGAGTTCGTGGGTTCAAATCCCGACCCTGACGCCTGCTGCTGTATATTTGAAGTTTGCGTGTCTCTCTCTCTTTCTCTCCCCCATGGTCACGTGGATTTTTCTCCAGGCCCTTCTGTTTTTCCGTCTACTGATGAATCTGAGCGCTCTCTCCTTATTACGTTACCGGAACTCCCCCCCCCCCCCCCCGACCGATATTTTTCTGGGAAACCGGGGCACCACACGTGTCGATGAGCCTCTCATCAATGGGGTTTTTGTTTTGATTGTTTTTAGTTTGTTTTTCTTTGTGAACGTGATTTACGTCTATTTATTACTCAACGTTTTTTTTCCACCCCCCGCTAATTTGAAACCCCGATCGCATCGCTGTCGGTGGCGGTGGCGAGACCGTTGGCTCCCTGGAACCCGGTTTTAATTGCAACCCAGTCGATCGCGAGTCCATGGGGTCTCTACGTGAGTCTGTGAGTCTCCACGTGAGTCTGTGAGTCTCCACGTGAGTCTATGAGTCTCCATGTGAGTCTGTGAGTCTCCATGTGAGTCTGTGAGTCTCCATGTGAGTCTATGGGTCTCTACGTGAGTCTGTGAGTCTCCATGTGAGTCTGTGAGTCTCCACGTGAGTCTGTGAGTCTCCCTGTGTGTCTATGGGTCTCTACGTGAGTCTGTGAGTCTTCACGTTAGTCTATGGGTCTCTACGTGAGTCTGTGAGTCTCCATGTGAGTCTATGGGTCTCTAGGTGAGTCTCTATGTGAGTCTTTGGGTCTCTAGGTGAGCCTGTGAGTCTCTATATGAGTCTATGAGTCTCTATGTGAGTCTGAGCCTCT